CAGAACAGGGACAGGATAACCATCACTAGTGACCCAGGCAACTCAGGAACAGATGTAAAGGTAGCAAAACAGACCCCATCTCTTGATGGGAGGGGTTTCAAACAGTCTAGACTAGGAGGGATAAAGAATTGGGGTCATAACTGCAGTCTCCTGCAGTGTGATGCTTGAGAGCACCAAGCAGGACAATTCCAGGCTCAGCATCACCTCTCCTTGAAGACAGGAATGTTTCCCATGGACCTAGAGTTTGGAAACTCTGGTTCCATACATATATAGGCAACTGTTCTCACGATAGTCAGTTCATATAGGTATAGGAAAATACACACACTTGATCAGTCACTCTCTTTAATACTGTCTTGCTGGCTGCACATTCAAGTGTTCTTTCCTACAATGATGATATGATGAACAGAATGGGCGGCAAGCTCAATGAAATGGCATCAAAAGGAAAATGTAACATGGATCTATTTGGGGATCATCCCAGAGTGACGTAAGGGATTAATGTACAAATGAGTGAAGAATGTTCTATCACCTCTTTTCCTTAGTGTCCAAAACTCTGATGGGGTCCAAAAGCATCCATTTTCCTCTTTATCTCCCCCCTTCTTTAGCCATTAACAACTAAAACTCATCTATTTATTTATTGAAGAGACTGCATTGCATTGGCCCTGAATCCCAGACATCATCTAAATAGTTGGGAAAGAAGACTCAATCATTTTTTCCCAGGGAAGCAGCCTAGCACCATGGCTCACCCTGTGGCCCCTGGATATCCCTCTGGCCCCATAGGCCCCAGCATCCATCCCTAGACTCCCTTAGTGATTCTTGGCCTCGTGCAGAGCTCATCATTATTTCAGGAGGAGAAAGACCTCCTGTGGGCACCACTGTCTCCTCTCAGAAAGTGTATTGTTCTAGGTGCAAAATAAAGAGAAAAAAAATGAAAACCAAAGTCTTGCTCATACACTTACTCTAGAGGGGAATTCCAATCACAGAGAACACCCTGTCCCTTCCTCCCACCTCTTCCACCCAACAGAGGAGGAGGAACTAGCCTTGGGGAGGGAATCGATTTCCTGTTCCACTGTCTGTAAGTACATTTTCCAGACTAGTCCTGACTTTACAAATTCAGAAAACCTCCAGGTAAGAAAGAAGCCCAGCATTGGGCTAGCCTTGTGCTATGATCCTGCTGCTTCTAAGTGAAATGCTTACAGCCTGGAGGGAAATGGCAAAGGCACTGGGTGATGAAGAGAGCATGTGCATTGTTGGTTGATAAACAGCTTTGTTCATGGCAGCTTGGGGTGGGGGGTGGAGGTAAGTGGTTGTTTTCCAAGGGGTGTTATCAACAGGAAATCTAACGGCAGTAATGCAGCAGGAGATTTTTGCCTAGTCTCTTGAAACAAACTTCTGAGAACCCTAAAGATAACTGTCGCTCACCTTCCAGACTCATGAATCATTGACAAGCTGTAACTATCCTGTGAGGAGGAAATGAAGGGGAGGGGACATCAAATATATATCAAATAAATCACACCCAATGTAGCACCGAACTCCAGAAACTCCAGTGAGAGACAAAATACAAGCTCATGCATTTAGTTAAATTGTAGCGCTGTGATTGTATGTTGAGGGAGAGTTGAGAACTAAATAAATAGCATGCTTCTGAGATCAAAACCTTGAAACCTTAACTCTCAGTTCTCTCCCATTTACTCCCATCTTCACCGAGAATATATTACCCTGTCTGAGGGGAAATAGAGTAAAAAGGTGGGGGGAGACCCTAAAGGAGATAAAGCTATAGAGTGCTGTGTTCCTGACTTCCTTAGAGACCAAGGTAGATCTTGAGAGATTTAATTTTTCCCCATTAACTTTTATGAAGCCTGACTTGGCTGTAATGTTTCTTAAATGCCAGCCAGTTTCCAGCCAGGATTTTCCAAGTGCATCTAATTGCCCACTTTATCACAGGCACTATCAGGTAAATGGCGTTCCACCTCCGCCAAGCCTGCTGAAGGCTGACACCCGGGACTTGTCAGGCAATGGATCACAGAGCTGGTGTGGGGGCCCTGACAGCGCATTCCTGCATGAGGGTGACAGTAAATTATGACATCTGCCAGGAAGATCGGAACACGCTCTGCTCCCGGATGCACCTAAACTACACAACCAGGAAGGCTTTTAGGATGTGCTTGGAAATGCGTCCGAGGGCTCTTAAAGGGACAAAGAGTCTCTTTTCTAAGCAACAGTGGAGTGGAGCTGTGTCCTGGACATTTGACATTTGCTTTTTTTCTTTGATGGTATTTAACTAGTCATTTTCGTCTTTGGATGCATACTATTACTTAGCAATGAAAACATTTTCCAGAGTTTGAATTATGCTTCTGTCCACCCTTGGACCCTGAAAGAAGCCTGAAACTTCTATCCAAACTTAGACCCAAAGTTACAATGATCAGTCATTATCATGCACACAGCCTGGGTTAAAGAAGCTGAGAATGTATATCACTAGGTCAGTTGTTATGGGCCTAAGGGAAGAGATAGAAAGTGCCTCTGCAGGACCTTTAACCTAGTTTAAGCACCCTCAAAACATGTTCTTCATTTTGCCAAAATCTTCTCAAACTTCTCCCTAATAATTTTTATCATTCATTGCCGGTTGGTGTCTATGGGTTATGCTTTATATAAGTATATCTTTTTGTCTAAATCTTGTCAGGACTGACATTAAAACTTGACACCCAGAAAGACAAAATAAAACACCAAAATCAATTAAATATTCATTTTTATACCATTCAAGCTAGATGGTTTTAAATAGAGTTGGTGGGAGTAATGTTAAAATAAAGGAGAATAAATGACAGGAAAATAAAGGAGAATAAATGACAGGGAGCATGAAAGTACAAAAGAAATAATCATATATTGAAACTTTCGATGTTTTCAATTGGAATTTCAGAAAAACTCTATATGGCATAAGAACGTTAAAGATGTACCTGAAATATTTCATAAATTTCTTTAAGTTCAACAATATAACATAACTAAACATGCCACAAAGACAAGAAGTTATGCTTAAGCCCATATGGGCCATGAGATATGTTTCTATTTCAGTGAATTTTCACTCAGATCTTAAGCTTATAAAGAAAAAAGGTCCATTTAGAGGTATAAATATCATATATGCTGATATACAATGACGACAATACATTAAGAGTCTAAATTTCCACATTCACGAGTGTATCCTGGGGACCCCGCACCCCCAACTTGAGAATGAAACTGGCTTTGATTTAGCAACACTACTGCTTTTGCAAAGATGTTAAGATTTGGGTTAATTTTCCATATAGAAGCTTATTTTTTTCATTATCCTGAGCAAATCATTTAACATCTTTGTGTTTAATGTTCTTTCTCATCATAAATGTGAATGGGACTAGTTTGTGAAGCTGTACTAGTGAATAATTGAGAAACCAGTCATAACATAATTTCATGAAACTATGCAATGCCTTTATATTTATTCGAAACAGCGTATTTCTTGAAAGTTGTGCAGTGCTTTTAGATAATGAATAAGAAACGGCAGTGTTTACTTTATTCTGCGTTTGACCTCCATTTATTGGGTACTGAGGGTACACAGACGCTCTGCTAACACCACTGGTGTCCACTAGAAGCAATGTGACATGGTCATGAGCACTGGAAGGATAAACTGTCAAGTCAAAACCACCATCTATGCATCCCTTTCTTCCAACATTTACTGAATAGCCACTGCCTTAAGACATTTGTTGGATGACTGACGTGGTGTGAGCAGATAGACCCAAATAAGCAGATTATACTGCACTCTATATTATGACAAAATAATTGCCTGAAACTATTTTTGATAAAGGTTTCTGGAAGATCTCAGAAACTTTCATATATGTACTTAGTTCTGTGCCTGGAACTATTTATACATAAATGACATAAATGTCAAATTTTTTTCATAATAATAGTTTAACATATAATGGCCTGGGTACTGCTTCCCCTCACTGTAGTTTTTGGCAATATTGGAAGTAAGTAAATAGATGGATACACTTAACATAAGTGACCAGGAAATGGAAAAGTTGACGACTCATTGTAAGCAAGCATGACTGGTAAAATGAGGTTGGTTCACCACAATTAGAAGCAATAAGAATTTCAGGGAAAAAAATATGAATGGATGTGGCATCTTCAAGCCTTCCTTACGTCACAGTCAATATTTCAAAATACTAATAAAATACCACCTATACTCAAATGCCTGTTGGATACATTGAAATAAAGAGATCTGCTTTGTTTTGATTTTTTTAAGATTCAGTGGTTTCTTCGCCATTCTTCTCGAGTTGCAACCCTAAAATAAATAAGTAAAACTTCTTTGCTCTGTTGAAGCTTTCCAGAAAGTGTTATTGTTGTTGTTTCTGAGATACACAAAAACTACATGATCCACACTGACAGTGAAGATCAAGTGTAAGTGTAAATACACTTTAAAAACAATATATTTTATACTATATTGCAACCATTCAGTTACTTGAAATTCCACTGAAGAATTAGGTTTTTAATTTAGATGAAGAATTGGGCCTTTCGTTTAGATAAACCACGAACACTATTTTCATGCAAAAGCTCTGGCTTTCCTAAAAGACCCATAAGAGTCTGGAATTTCTCCGGAAAACGTTTTATCCCAATCCACAGCTACCAATATCCTTCATTACACTTGTTAACACATTGTGAAAAAACACAATAATATGGCCAGAATGGACTCCAGTTTTCCAAGCGGTTTGATTCTTTTATGAGGGTTCCATAATTTCTTGGGGTTTTCCAGCTGTTTTTTGATCATTGGTTCTGCCAGTCTCCCTTCCCAGACAGAAACTGGGACACTCAATGGTGGTTGTGGTAAATTAATAAGGAGAAAAAATAAACAGAAGGCCCTTTTCCCATGTTTTTTTTTTTTTTAACTTTGTAAATCTGTTCACTGTACAGTTAATTTGGAGCTTGCAATGCAGGAACCCTGTCTGGCTTTTCTAATTCATCATTTTCTCCTGATGTTATTTCTTCCTTAGAGAGTCCACAAGTGGAATTCACAGCAGGCAAGTGAATGGATGGTCCTCTCTCCAGGCTCTCACATTCCTCCAGGACATCTGGGCAACTGGAGTCAAAGGCAAAGCAAAACTTTCTAGGATTTCTACCATCTGATCCCATAGGTTTAATATCATTTAAATTAGTGGTAAGAAAACATTCTCTGTAAATACTTAGATAATATATGTTTTTGGCTTAGCAGGCCATGTGGTCTCTGTCACAATTACTCAACTCTGTTGTTGTAGCTTGAACATAGTCATAGATAATTCATAAATAAATTAACATGGCTGTGTTCCAATAGCTTTTTTATGGACTCTAAAATTTGAGTTTCCTATAATTTTCATGTGCTGTAAAATGGTCTACTCGTTTTGATTTTTTCCCAACAATCTAAACATGTAAAAGCATTCATAGCTTGTGGAGTCATGTAAAAACAGACAGTGGTTAGATTTGGTCTACATGTCATAATATACTAATGTTGTTATAAATGATCAGTGCCTCAAATTTATGTCTCATCCCACAGTTGATTATTGATACCTACTTGTTTGTCCCTCAGATAACTTCAGGGTCCTAAATGGAAGTTGTGATTCTCTTCTCCTCTGTTTTTTTATTGCTGAGTTCTTCCCCATTGAGTAAAGTACCTCACAGCTTCCACAATTACTATAGTTTGTTATTATACTTGGCAATCCATTCATCACTAAATTCTATGGATCTCATTTTCATATGTACCTCAGTTCTGCTTAATTCTCTCCATCTGGCCCAAGCTACTCTTATCTATTAACTAGATCTTAAAATCAAAATGTGCCTTTCTACCTATCTGCTAGAGTTTTGCAAAATGAGTTATTATCATGGCTTCTGGAACATATAGAAATCATGTGTTCTATATCAACAATATGAATAAACAACTTAGAAATTCCCATGCTACCTTCTTCAGGTGCATGGTGTCACCATACAGCATCTGAAATTGCTAAAGGATTAGGCATAAAATCATTGATGATGATCCTTCAGTGTGAAAAATTATCCAGGTTCCTAATTAAATTCCTTAAAGCTTTACCTGTGACAAACTGTACTTTGGCCTCATTTCCACCCCACCTGTGACAAATGTCATCCTTCTTCACTATAATTTAGCCTAAAAGATCTCTGTTCTGCTCCTGTCCACAATTCACCTTCTCTTAGTCCCATGCCTTTTCTCACTCTTCTCTCTGCTCTGGATGTCTTAGTGCAGTCCCTTGTAAAGCTGACCTATTCTTATGCTTCCAGTTCGATTTATTGGCCACTTTATCCAGAGTGGGCATTGCCATCTTCTGCACCTTGATAACATCCCTTAAAGATCCCAGTATTTAACTATTTTGATTGCCTTTCTTTATAAGCCATTTATTCTGTCTCCCATATACAGTATAAATGGTGTAAATAGTAGATTGTTGGATTCATTGTCTCCAAAGCCCAACTCTAGCAGATGGTGGTTACTTAAATATTAAATAAATGACCTAATGAATCTTTCAACTTAAAATATAAGCCAAGCATATGTTGTAAATTTTAAGTGCATGAAAAATTTGAAATACTCAGAAATACTACACTCAAAGACATACTTTATGATATGGTTTTCATTTCATTTATTTATTTACTTATTTAATTTTGCTTATTTTATAAGTATATCAATTAATACAAAAAACACATTTATTATTAGAAGTAGCAGAACTGCAAATGTTAATAAAGGAAATCCCACCCTGCTTAATTTTTTGTCTCTGGTTTTCTAAAACATGCTCTGCAGATCTACACTGAAACATGCAGGTTTTATTCCACCAGAACACTAGGTTAGAGAGAAGCTGTTAAAGAGTCCCTCAAGTGGAACTCTAGGGATAGTGCTTTGGTTGAGTAACTACATCCTGTCTGAGTCACATATCTCTCCATCCTATTTTTTCTGCTTTTCCAAAAACAATATGATATATGACCTGGACTGATTAAATACAAAAGTAAAGTTTTTGTGTTATAAATATTTAAAGTATTTTCAAAAGGAGTGAGTTTTGCAAGATGGAAGTGCCTTATGTTTATACATACACACGCACACACACGTAGACTTGTTACAATCTGGATTGAGTAAGATATTGGCTAAGATAAATTCCTGAGATGATTTTTTTTTGCATAGACAGAACCCTTGCTAAATATGTCAGCCAACACTTCCACTGTGCTGTAATGACCAACAGTGGCTAACACCCAGCAGCACAGCTGTATTCTTCGTTTGACTTATACTTGGGCTGCCTCATTTCCACACTAACTGTGCCTCAGCTCCACATGCAAACTCTATCACAGAATCCAAAGAGAAGCAGCAGCAGTCTGATTTTAATATTATTATTATTTTATATTTTTTGCATCATTCTTCATTTTGGACATACCTTTCTTTTGGCAGAAATAAAACAGAATCACATATGACACTTCACGCTTCCGAAGTGGTGTGTTGCTTCATTCACACTCTGCTGATGACAGCTGTGAAGGGAGAGCACTGTCACTGAGCAAGGAAGCCAATCTTCTCAAATCTTCTCAGGGAAGTCACTGACATTTACATGACAATAAGTAGGGATTTATAATTCCCCTACAAAAAGGGGGTTCTGCATTAGGTATGAAAAACAGCAACAATTAGAAGGAAAAATAGTAAAGAGAATGTCATCTAGAGTTGTATGTAATGATACCTGCACCTGAAATAAAACAATTATTTCTTTTGTTTGCTTTTTTTTTAAAGATTTATTTATGCATACAGAACTGGGGTACAGGCCAGAGGTGCAGGGGTGGTGAGAGGCTTCACCAGGGATAGAGTGGGGGAGCAGAAAAGGCAGACCAACAAAGCACACTGCTGAGGGGAGCAGTGAGCTGGTCAGGAGAGGTGTGGGGGTGGGGGTTGAACTCATGCTGAAGTGGCTTTAGCTTCTTAGTGTGGAGCTTTAACCCGCTGTGCCACCAGGGAGGGCCATGAAATAAAACAATACTTCACAGCAAAATACTGTTTGGGAAACCAAATAGATACAGATATTTAGTAAAATTTAAAATGCTGATTTTTTTTTTTTTTTTTTTTAAGGAGCAAGTTAAATAGCATAACTTGGGAATACAATGCCCAGTGATACAGTTTTAGTGGGACTGGTCAAGAAGTTGTACTTAATGTCAGCAGGGTGGATCAGGGAATCACTGATGATTGTTCTCCTCTGACAACAGCCATCTCTTAGAACTGTGGTGAGCATGATTACATTGAACCTTAGGCTAAAGGATTTACTCCTTTAGTCAAACCACAAAATATTGATTGGATATGTGCCCAGAGTTTATTACATGTGGGATACCCAAAGTTGTCTATATTATAGTTGTCAGGCTGAATATAGCATTCATACAATCAGTATCAGTAAACCACAGAAAAGTTGCTTTTTCCTTGTATTGAGAAAAAATAATCAAGAAAAATTTTCTCCTAGAAAGTTTATTTTAACAAACTTTTGTTTTTATTATACTGATATTGCTTATTTTTTTTATTTTTTTTAAAAAAAGTACATGTGTGAAGTATGCTGTTAAACTAGGAAAGCTGGTTTAAACCCTTAGTTAAAATTGGGCAATTATTGAAATAGATAATTGAAAAATGACTGATTTCTTAATTAAGTTTAATAATAGTTTACTGAACAAATTAGTGATTAACTTCAATAAAACGTTCTAGTCAGTTGTGCGTGTAGAAACAGACTATAATGGCAGGAAATGATAAAATGAACTTTATGTAGAAATTCCTATTTTCAGACTTGAAAAAACTAGCAAAACATGAAAATATATATGGAATAGTTGTCTGAGAATGTGTGACAGCTACCATCTCAGGAATTCTTTGCCCATTATTATTTTGCATTTAAATCCATACAGAACAAACTAGAAAGGATATCAAAAGTTATTCCTAGAAAAACTAACGATCTCTCTCCCCTGTTTCTAGCTACCTACTTCTCTTCCCTAGAGTCACTAATTTCTCATGTAACCCCCATCTGATCATAAGAAAAATCATTTGTGAAATCCCGGTTGAAAGCATTCTCCAAGATACCCAACAGTATTCCTCAAAACTATCAAAAGTAAGGAAGGAGTCACAGTCAAGAGAAGCTTTGTGAAGACATGATGACTAAGTTCCAGGTGAGATCCTGAAACAGAGAAAATGACATTTTGCAAAAACTAAAAAACTGATTAAGAATGGATTTTATGGTGATGGGAAACCCGCGGGGATTACAATCGAGATGGAAAAAAAAATGTGCAAAATGATGTAAAAATAAACTTTGTAATAAAAAAAATGGATTTTAGTTAATTATATCTTGTCTATATTGACTCATTAGTGTACCATAATGATGCAAGATAGAGTAACCAGAAAGCTTGATGTGGGGTTTGTAGGCCCCGCTATATTATTTTCATAATTTTTTCTATAACTCTATCACTACTATAAATTATTTATAAATAATTTTAAGGTATAAATCTTTGTAATGTATGTCTCAGCTAATCCCTGAAGTAGTATAGCCTTGTTCCCCCTCCCTTGAATTTGGGCTTATGTTGTGAATTGCCATAGCCAGTAAGTGCATGTATAAATGGTGTTGAGACAGTTCTAAACCTCGGCTTCAAAGACACCTTGTAATATCTGTTCCTGTTAAGGAGTGAGAAATGTGGAGGAGAAACCAGTTATTCCAGATGTTGTCATCTACCCTTCGATCTACCCATCTAATGTCAGTCACACCCCAAATATTCAATATATGGGAAATGGTGGGATCTTATACGTTGAAAAACGTACAATTAAATTGCTTGGAATGAATGATGGTTCACAGATGAGATCAGATAATTTCCTGGTGTTAGCAGCTGTAAGTAATTCTCAAATGATTAGTGTTCCTATACAAATGGCAATCACCTGGCTTTCAGCAAATCGCCTAATAGAGTAGGTTTTCTCAGTTGGTTTCCTTCTCCATTATCTCTACCCTAAAGCTTACATACTATATTTAGGAGAGACTCTGTTTTGTCTAGCAATATGGGGGGAAAAGGGATGCCTAAATTACTTAATGTGCCCAATTGTGTACTTTTACTCAGATCTTTAGAAATATCTGCAAGAGATGCTAACTAACCCGCATTTCCAAAAGTGTAAATATGAGGAATGGACAAGAGTCAAGACAGATATGAGTGCCTTTTTTTTTTTTTTAAAGACTTACTTATTTGTGCATACAGAACTGGGGTACAAGCCAGAGGTGCAAGGGTAGTGAAAGGATTCACCAGACACAGAGTGGGGAGCAGAACAGGCAGACCGAGGAAGTACACTGCTGAGGGGAAGCAGCGGGCGGGTCAGGGGAGGTCTGCTGTGCCCTCTGGGGTGGGCGGGGTTCGAACTCATGCGGAAGTGGCTTTAGCTTCTTAGTGCAGTGCTTTAACCCGTTGCACCACCAGGGAGGGCCATAAGTGGAATTATACCAAACTAAGTCATCAAGACTTCTGTGTCAAGAACCTAATATTTATGACAGAATTCTCAATCTAGGGGGAGGAGAAATTTGCCTTCTCCCACACTGGATTTAGCAATGTTACAATGCGGTGGAAGATGTCCAGGATCACAGATGGGAAATAGACAGAAATCAGCTTGGAACATCTATGTAAGTCCCACAGTGTCACAAATGTGAGAAATGTTATTAGCAAGACTGAGCTGCAATTATGTTGCTGGGACCCAGAAGGAGCATCAAATGTTTTAATCAGGGAGATTGCCTGAATATGTTATGCCTCATTCTAACTCATGAGGAGTAGGCACTTGAAATCTGATTTAAACTTGTATAAACTACAGGTCTTTTATAGAATGATAGTAATTCTAGCTTGTTATCCAATAATTATGTACTGTCCAGAATCCATAGTCAAAGCTTGGGTCAAGATTAAGTCCATGCTAAGTCCATACTTACCATAAAGAAGATAGTTTCAGAGAAATAGGATTTTCTTCCATTAACATTAAGAGCCAGACATCTCTTTGTTAGATTCAGAAAGAGAATATGTAAAGAACATCCTTAGAAAGGCAAGACCTAGCCAGAATGCTTGAAAATCTTACAAAATAAGGTGAGTTGATGATTTCCTAGGAAATCTGGAAAATGATGGTACACAACAACTCTACCCAGTCATAACCTTAACATACATACTGGAAATTCACACCCTTGAGTGCCCATATGGGAATGCAGTGCATTTCCCCTGATATCGAAGTGTCCTAGGTAATTTATTGTATTGGCAAAGCTATTTCGAGGATCTATAATCATTCTGACATTGCATTCCCAGTGCCATCACTAATGGTTTTATGCTTTTTACGTGGCTAAGTATCATATGAAAACAGAGAAGGTAAACATTTAGAATGTTCAGAAGCCACACATTCCAATTAAAGTTTGGTATAACCCTATTTACTTCATATATGTCAAAATAAAGACAAACAAGTGTAAGGATATGTGTAAATGTGCTGAAAGTTCTAAGGAACAATGTTTTCAATATTGCTCTTATAAACTGAAAATATTAAAAGTCTTGATCCCCCCAAAACACGTTGGGGTCACCTCTGCCTTGCTTGTATAATAAGCATGGCACTAGCTCACCAAGAGAACACCAACCTGTGAGACAGTCTCATTAATCTTGGTACCTAGTAACATTTGCTCTGAATTTTGTTATCATAAATCACTGAACTTGTGTTTCCTAACTGCAAAATGAGGCTAAGTCCCCCCTGGTGATTTCAGAAAATTTGAGAGAGACTGGCAAGAGGAACCCATGATGCATAAAGGTTCTATCAAATTTGCTTTTGTAACATTCCAAATGAATTACTAAGCCACAGGGGAACAGCAAGGTGATGGGCTACCTGAGAGAAAGGCGGTGGATACTGAATCACAATGACTTAAAGATGAGAATGAGCTCAGGCCAATCACATAATACTCCCTATTGTGCTCTGGCTTAGTCACAGCCAAATTCAGGAAGCACATTCCATTAGACTAAATAAAGCTTCGATCATGTGTAAAGTTTCCAGCTTGAGCAGGCAGTCCTCCTATCACTCATCAGGCTAGAGCATTTAATGGGTGTAATTTCTTCCTCATATTTCTATGCATTTATTGTTTCATTTTTATTATAGGAATTTGGACATCTTATTAAGCTTATTATTTTTTGTTAAGCCTAGGCTTAAGTAAATACTGTTCCACAGGGTGTACATGCAAATATGTTTCCTTTAGATTGTCAAAAGAATGAGGCAATCTGATTCAACTTAACCATGAGATTAGAAGAAAGGAAAAGTGAAATAACAAAACAATAATCCCTAGCCGGCACCAAACCAGTCACTGGAGAGTGCTCTGGAATTTTGGGGGTGGTGGGATTGTAAAATTTGAATTCCTCAATTACAGAGGTCCTGATTCTGCAGGTTTAAGATGAAATTCAGATTTAAAAAAAAAAAAAACACACAAATTGGAAGAAAATGTCACAAGTGATTTCAATATAAAGCAATGCTTTGATCCTCTGTAAATGGCGTTAACTTGCCTTTAAAGGTGCTTGGGAAAAAAAGAAGATATTGGAAGATGAGTACTCTTTTTTTTCTGTTTATGCCAATTTTCTAAACAGATGAAAATTGTCCCTGTAAAATTTTAATTTCAAGAATGAGTTTCATTCATTTTTGTGAGCTTTGTTGAACCCTGTAGACTTTAAGGATTGTGTGACCCAGGTCTCAGCTGACTGCCAGCCAGAGCTTCAGGCAGATGCAAGAGCTCTTCAAGTGGATGGAAGTGAGCAAAGTAGAATGCTCTATAGAAAACGACCTGGCAGATTTTTACAATGTCCAAATATAACCTAGAAAATCTGCCCCAGAGAGGAGATTTAGTCCCTGGAAAAATGAGCATGAGAAATGACTTACTTAACTACTTTGAGGGGAATAGTCAGACTGGAGGTATGTGTTCATCTTTTCTTCCCTGGTTTTGAAGGTCTCTAATATTTTTTTTTTATTTTTAATTGCGATAATATTGCTTTATAATGCTGTATGTGACTGAGAAGCAGAGGTTTGCATCTCTTCAGATATATGGCCCCCACTCTTACCACTCAGGCACCCAGAATCCTCCACCATTGTCCGTTGTGCCCTCCCCATGCTTCACTCTTCACTCTCCTGCTCCCCCTCAGTTACCCTCAATTTTATGGTCAGACTTCTAGTGTTTGTTTTCAGTTTGGTTTGTTCTAACTCTGTTCTCTCTATTCCACGTGAGAGTGAAACCGTCCGGTATTTCTCTTCCTCCTTCTGAAGGTATTAAGGTATTGTATTAAGATTTTCCTGGAATTTCCTCAGAGGTAGACCCAGAAGTAGACCTTGAGACAAAGACTTAAACGTCAATTGTTTGGGAAGTGATTTAAACAAGTGAGGAGCAAAGAAACTTAAAATGGAAGACACCCAGTAAGGCTGCATTGTGAAACAAGTCATCACTGCAGACACTTGTCAGGAACTTTGGAAGTAACATGTTCTTCAGGGTTAGCATCTCCGAGGGAGTATTTAGGGCTGACTCCCATCAGTCATGGGTAGAAGCTTGTGACCAAAGAACGTTCATTTCCAGGCATAGTCAGCCTGCCTCTTCCAAACGCAAATCAGGTTTAGGTACCAGAGCAAGTCCCACGCCAAGGCGAGATTCAGGCTAATGAGTACTGAAATGGTAGTGGCCAAGGATGTAGGAGGAGACTGACAGAATCTGCCTGAAAAAATTGGAAAACTTAAATATTAAAGCCACCAGTTTTTCCCATACAAAGAGTGATAGAAGAAAGGATTTGTAGGTCAGAACCAAGTTACACACTGAATATGTTTCTTCCATGAAAAAGTCAAACCCTGTTAAAAGACAAGCAGCTGATTTGCTACCTTGATTGTCTAGCCAGTGACAGTAAGTTATTCCAGTAGTGAGCAAGATCTATGATACCAGTTCACTTGGATTCAACTTGAGCGTTTTGATAACTGGTAAAACCATAATTTTTTTCTTTTCTTCCATGGTAGAGATTGCCTTGGTTGGGGATGTTGCACAGTACCTCTTGCTTGCATGTTCTTGCACCTATGTAAAGGCTTCATGATATCATCCCAGGTAACTAAGTGAACAGAGTGAAAGTAAGCAGGATTTCTAAAAATGATTTGCTGCTCACAGGGGATAGAAGGTTGTTTCCTAAATGCTTTTATATGCCTCCTAAATTGTTCATTAAGAAAAGGTACCAAGATTATATACTTATAAATATATGAAAAAATGTTTTTAT